CCTCAGGATCAGCGTTCTTGAATTTGTTGGCAAGAGGTTGGCGTTCACGCTTCGGTAGGGACTTGACAAATCGCAGGGTCTGACAAAGTTCCCCGCATTAGCAAGACTTCGCAATAAGTAGCAGGCGGAATGTCGGTCTCCCACTCACATTCTCACTGCAGATAGTTTGAATCACATCGTCCGGCGGAGTTCCGAGCAGTTCTGTGATGATAGAGAACTGGTTGACATGGTCCTTCCCGGGGAATAAAGGCTTTCCTTCCAGCATCTCGGCAAAAATACAGCCTGCACTCCATATGTCGACTTCCACATCATATTTCTGCCATGTAAGCATGATTTCAGGGGCTCGGTAGTATCTCGTCGAAACATAGCCGGTCATCTGAGGGTCTTGGATACGAGCAAGGCCAAAATCGCAAATTTTCAGGTCGCAGTTTTCGTTGATAAGGATGTTGCTGGGTTTGAGATCACGGTGGACGACGCCTGCTGAGTGAACGTATTTCAGACCTCGCTGCAGAATAAATGGTTAGCGTTCAAGTACTGTCTGAACGGGAGAAAAGCCGAGGCACACCAAAATCTGATATAAGAAGTATTGAATAAACTGTTTCTCCAATGGTCTCGAAGTCAAAAGTCGGTGGAGGTCGGTCCCAAGGAGCTCTGTGACAAAGTAACTGTTCAGCTGTTAGAATACTGCAACAAGCCATAGGCCTCGATGGGGCCCGCATACATGTCCTCGAGAGGGGAGATGAAGATATCGCTTAAGCTAATGATCTACCAAGGGAATCAGAACACAAATGTGGTGGGATGTTTGCAGTTGGGTGGCCACAAACGTTCTCATGCCGTAAATGCTTCAACAGCTTCAGCTCACGGTATGTTCTCTTCGACAAAACAGGAGTGCTGAAAGGCTTCATGATCTTCTTTACAGCCACGGGTTGGCCTGTCAATTGATCTCTTGCGGAGCTATTGTCGCGCCATACGCATTAGCCCATTTGAACAGGCCGAAGACCTGACGGTAATTGTCGTAGATGAAAGAAGGGGTATGCCGTGTTCTGCCAACCATACCAGACAAGTCCAAAGGCGCCCATTCCCACCGGTTGCAGATCCGTATACCTGCGATCTTGTTAACACAATTGATATATCGAAGTCTCCTGATCGCGTGCACTGTACCTGCTGGTGATCTCGAAGGTGGTGCCGAAAATCTGGGCACGCACGAACTCGGCCATTTTGGATAGTGGCGGTGGACGGAGTACGTCTGGGAATGCAGGGCAGCTCTCTAAAAGTCTCTCCGATTCTTTGGCTCCAGGATCTCAAAATAATGGAAGTTTAACGAATGTATAGAGCCAACAGATGAGGATGTCAAAAACCTACGAAGGAAGGGGGGGAAAAAAACAGATGCAGTTGAAGTAACTACGTAGTCGCGCTCAGAGAGGAAGAGAGGGGAGCGAGGGCGGGCAAAAGCCGTGGCAGCAAGTGGCGCCTAGCAGATGTGGGGAAGCGAGGCCTCCTAGTCCGCTCAGTTCGAGTCCCAGGAAAATCAAAAACAGGGACGATGACGTCCGCGACAAAAAGTGAGCGCAGTCGAAAAAAGGGCCGGTGTGTTTTCGGCCCTAGTGGGTATAGTTCCTATCTGTCTAGACCACAACGATTATTAGGTCCGGCCAATTGGTTGGAAGACTGTTCCAAATTCAAGGAAAAACAACACCATCAGGGTATCATCATCATTATAACGCTTGCATAAATATCAAGAATGCCATAAGGATCATCTGGAAAATAGATCCCACGCGCGGAACAAGAGGGGCCTATGTTTCGTCTTTTTTTACTCTGTACAACCATCTGTGGTCATGAATGCGTGTTATCAACAGGGATCACATCTACTCGTAGTAGTATCCGAAAAGCAAGTCTTCTATACAAATCCCTATCAAACTCCTCAACATCATATCAATGTATTCAGGTTTGCGTTGCTCATAACCAGTATGTTATCTCGAATGAATAACATCGGTCAATTTAGCACTATACCTCTCTATAGGCGTCAGGTGCCGTCCTGTAGATACAGTTGCATGCCGTCCATAAAGCAGTCAGACAGCTTATTAGAAATTCCCAAAGCTGTCCATATTCGATAACAACGCAATCATTCATCCTGAGCATAATCCCAGCGGAATGGCTGATCGGAAACAACAGTCCGATATTACCTTAGACAGACAACGAGCTCAAAGGAGAAAGCAGTGCCCCTCCAACTCCAATCTCACAGTCAGGTCTTCAGACGTCTTCTTTTCCTCTTCATGTCGGCAACGAGGGGTAAGCATCAACTAGTACGGATATATAATTCATAATCTTCACCAAATGATTATCAATGGCAATATTCTTTTTCTCTGAGTATGTCACCAATGGGACAAACTGGGATTCGAGATGAGGTTGTAGACTAGACCCAGCATCTTGCTTTGTGATAGATGTCATCATAGTGGGGCTGATCCAGTTCTAACCAGTTCCATCAACCATTAGAAATCGACTGTGCTGTACCACCTTCATAGAAGAGCATAACGCACAATTAAAAGAATCTTGTATAAGAGTCCTTATCAGTTGATCAAGTGCAGTTTAGACATGCGCTCAATTTAAGGATGTTTAAATTATATCATACTCATTATTATGAAAGTAGATAGAAACCTTCCTGACTCAATCCTACGTTAGCTTCACAAGTCATGCTCCTGCTCTATCCGGTACCTATTTTACTGCGTTAGCCCCTCATCAGGATCATTCCGGGTTTTCACTCGGTCGAGGCGTTACAAGATCGATACTACCAGGTAGATGTCTCCTATCTAGATACGGTAGAGGGAAGCGGCGGTTAAGTATTAGTCTCGGCTGGCAAGTACAGAGAAAGAAATATATCCTCAATAATTTACATGATGAGGATCGCAATAAGTAATAATCAAGCACAGACTCAAAATATGGATCTGGCCCGAACCCCTTTTCGAAGATGTGCAAACTACTATTTTGAATCTCTCCTGCCCCCTTGATAAATACTTACCGTGAATCAGCTTTTGCTTCAGCAACCACGGAGGACGACTGATCTAGTTGCTGTAAAGGTCCGGAGTGACAGCGTCCCTCATTTGTTCGATTCTGGTGTGTGACACTGCATTACAATCTCCTCCGTACAGAGCAGTTGCTATTGGGTACGGAGTACGGATACTCCAACATAATAAGAGCGCTGCATCAAAATAAAGATCAAGGGCCTCATTCATGTCACTTGACCGCTGCAAACACCTTCAAATTTAAAGTTCCTGTCTGTCATCAATATTAAGAGTCTTCACCATTTGCATCCTTGACTTTAAGAAGCTAAGTAGAAAATGCATGGCACAGCTTGTGAAATTCTCCAAGGGCACTCTGCCAGATATATGTACCTTAGAAGGTAGTGCTTCAACTCACCAATCGGGAATGATTGAAGCATAGCCTCAGCATTATTTCGATGCGCCCTGGAATAGCAATCCGTATTTCGCCTTGGGAAGAGGATCATCTAGGTACAAAGCGGGAGGGTTGGTGGCTGTATCGGGACGTACGGTAACGTATACCAAGTCACCATGGTCTAAGTAGTAGTACATGAGTACCTAGGTAGCAATCAAAAAGCACCAGAGAAGGACTCCAATAAATTAAAAACAATTGAACATTAAGCTTGATTCTCTCGATCGCTGCTTCGTAGAAGAGATCAGATCCTTTGAAAGGCAGATGCCGATTATGCCCCTAGAAATAAGGACTGATCAGCTTCCAGTGTTCCACCATGACAGCCAGAACAGCCTGTAATACCTGCGTTTTCAGTGCCTTCGTCATCAAAGAGTAAGGTAGTTACCTCCTACCTTACCTACCTTAGGTACCAGGAAAAGGTAGGTAGCTAGGTAATCGCTTACTGTTACGGAGTATGCATCTATCTTGATGCTGTGAAGTTACATTGGACCCTTAGAATATCTAGGTAGGTACCCTTTTCCTGCCTCACTCTAAACCAGTGGACTGCAGCACTGCCGGAATTTAAAGCATCTCTTTCTCTTTCCAACCTTACCTTAGGTGACTGTCAGACTTTTACCTGGCGCGGTAGACATATTATTTACTCACTAGTACTCCGTAAGCTTCGCCCATCCACGTTTTTACCAATATTACCCACTCAACTCCTTCTCATGCTCTCCTCTCTCTGCCATCTCCACTTCAACCTGTCTATATGACGATTTGGAATATCCACAACTGGGTCATTATACCCTGATACTGATTCTCCAAAGCCACTCCAAACTTACACTTAATATACCAGATCTTAGTTGTCTATCACGTTAAGACATCTGCCATTATTGCAGCTACCTAGGTATAACACCTTGTACCAATTACCTTATCATTCTTAGTACTTCGCCTTCGACCCATCCTGATTGCTTACATGATCTCACCTTGAGATCCGCTCTCCATCCACTCTTCCCGATCGACCTTGACTACCCTTTTTAGCGTCGGTTCGTCACTCTCACACACCTGTCTGCTCCGCAATCGAGTCCTGTCACCCCTCATCCCAATCAGTCTATTCGCGGAGAAAAAGCAATAGGAGCTTGGGCTCTTCCCTCACCGACCGAAGCAACATTTCCCTTAGCCTTATTACCTGCGTCACGAGTCACTGCCGTCCCACAGCCTGACGGTCTTTACTCTGTACTCGCTTCTTGCGCCTGTAACGAAGACCGGAACTGCTCGCCGTTGCCCTGCAACTCACTATACCGCGTTCAACTTATTCTCCATCCTCCTCCCGTCGGTCGCAAATCATCGTCGAACGTTACTTACCCGCTAATCCCCGATTGCCTGTATACCTTGAGTTCAAAAGTCGGTTTCAACGCCATAGGGGTTGCGCGCAAGAGGCTGCCTAGTTCATGAGTCCTACCCCGAGTGTCTCGGGTGTCAGTGTCTCATTAATTGATGCCGCTTACCTGTGCTGGCAGCTAATGCTTTAGGCCTTTCCGCTGTTCTATACATAACACAAAACCTGGCCGAAAATGGGGTCATGTTTCAGCACAGAGTCAGCAGGGGATGCGGAACAAAAGAAGCGAAGTCAGGCCATTGATCGCCGGTTAGAAGAGGATTCCAGGCGACTACGGAGAGAATGCAAAATACTTCTGCTGGGTCAGTTCTGGATTTGCCTGAGTATGATAATGGTGATTGTGCCGTGGACTAACGGGAGCTTTCCTTTGATTTGTGACAGGGTCCGGAGAGAGCGGGAAATCTACGATTGTCAAACAAATGAAAATCATTCATCAAAACGGCTACACGGTGGAGGAACTTGCGTTATATCGTTTAACGATCTACAAAAATCTCCTAGATTGCACCAAAGCTCTCATCGGGGCTTACCACCAATTCAACCTCCAACCAACGAGTCCCAAAGTCCGCGAATTCATCGAGTTCCTTTCTGAATACAATATTGACCCGGATCCAAACACGCCTCTAGATCCTCGAATTGGAGATGCCGTCACCTATCTCTGGAATGATCCATGCACGTCCACTGCGTTAGAGCATCAGAATGAGTTTTACCTGATGGATTCTGCGCCATAGTAAGTTCATTCTTTGCCTTTTGCTTCTTGCTTTTTAGAGACATGCGCATTGACCCAATCTGCGATTAGTTTCTTTGAAGAAGCGAAGCGCATAGCGGCTCCTGATTATATTCCGAACGTGGCGGACGTGCTCCGTGCTCGAACAAAGACGACAGGTATCTATGAGACAAGATTTACAATGGGCCAGCTCAGCATACAGTACGCGACTGTCTTCCAAGATATTGTCCCTGTCCCTAGTCTAGGCTGCTAACGAGTCCGTAGTATGTTCGATGTCGGTGGACAGCGCAGCGAGCGAAAGAAATGGATACATTGTTTCGAGAACGTCACGTCGATCATTTTCTGTGTGGCATTGAGTGAGTACGATCAAGTACTGCTAGAAGAGAGCAATCAAGTAAGTCATTTTTGTGTTTACTGAACTACGGCTTTCTTCGTTAACCACCTCTAAAGAATCGAATGATGGAAAGCTTGGTTCTTTTTGACTCCGTCGTTAATTCGCGATGGTTCATGCGAACAAGTATTATTCTTTTCCTCAACAAAGTGGATCTCTTTCGACAGAAGTTGCCCCGTTCGCCCCTGAGTAACTATTTTCCCGATTACTCTGGCGGTAATGATGTGAACCGGGCTGCCAAGTATCTCCTGTGGAGATTCAACCAGGTCAACCGAGCGCACCTGAATCTATATCCTCAGTAAGTACCTTCTTCGGGCCAGTAGGCCCAGCTCAGGGGGTTTGACAAAATGAGTTGACCTCGTGACAGTTTGACTCAAGCAACGGATACCACGAATATTCGTCTAGTGTTCGCTGCGGTCAAGGAAACAATATTACAAAATGCCCTGAAAGATTCGGGCATCTTGTGATCTTTCTTAATCGCTTCTCGACCATTCCAATCATTCCATTATTGATCTCCTACGTCTTATGACGAGCTTTATCGCCAAAGACACCACCTCCACCAACTCACGGCTACGACTCTGCTTTGATTCTCGTTTCAATTCCCCGTTCTTCATCTTGATACTCTCTTATGTTTGGCTGAATGCATAGGCGTTGTTGTGCTCTGCTATTATTGTCTCGCGTCATTGTGACAGGCGCTGGGCTGGTTCATACTTTTTTGAATATTTGTGGCATGGTGTTTCTTCTTGGTTTTCCGGTGGCTTTTTTTCATGGGCAGCAATCTTTTTCTGCATTCGGTCGACGACGATTAGCTCTTGGTTTGCTTTTGGGATCTGATGCCGCATATTACCTTCAGTGAAAAGTTGGCGGCCTCGGCACGATTTGCATATATCAAGTGTGAAGCCTTATACTATCATTGTTTCATGCTTTCAGACACTTTTATCTACTTTGACCGCTACGCCTCACCTTTTGCTTATGGGTCTTCCTCTTCATGCATTGACGGCGGTCTTCTTCGTTTCAGTTACCGACGACCATCCCAATTTCTTCTTATGTGTTTTTAGTGCTTGCAGCGTCTCTTTGCATTGGCCTAATTCTTCTTACTCCTGAAAATGATCCTTATCCTCTCATTGCTGGTCAGTTCATCTCTATGTGCGACTGAGATCTGACCACTTTTCGCACACCTACCCTAAGCTGCCTCTGCATGGTCATCAGACACAACGCTGAGATAAATAAGGCCAGTCCGTCATGATATGAAGAGATGAGTCTATCTTTGAAAGGAATACCAGTCGTCCCTCAGAAGCCATCATTGTGGTGGCGATCTACGACAGCCTCGGTTGCTGATCAGAAACAAGGTTCATTTGACTGTATTTGAGATGATATACTAATACCACATCAAATTCTTCAACATACTGAGAATTCTATATTTGGTTCCAGCGAAAATAGATTGGGGGCCCGAGCATACTATAAGGTGACTACAAGACCATTGATCCCTTGGGCCTGCCCGGCCTGAACGTCTACTAGGTACGCACGTACTCCATTATTATGCGGGGATCTCCACATCCCAGAGTTGAGACGATATGATCTGGTGAACACTCCTCAAAGAGGGGGACCTACCTTACACGTCGAGAGTGTCCTCTTTGAAAACCACTTTGTTGGGTTAGGATGAGCACCTCTTTAAGTTCACCGAGCGACCGAAAACGAGCAATTTTTCGGTCGCACAGTGGATAGGCTGGTTCCTCATGAACGTTCCTACAAATCTTTAGGTTCGATGGTTCCCCACCATATCCTGATAAGATGGTGTAGGCGTCATAGCTTCCTATGTAGGTACGCCGTACTCTAGGTAGAGCATAACGCTGGGCCCTTTTTCCCCCTCATGAACAAGAGAAATTACTACTCCGTGGGAGCTAATCACTTTCCCCTCGCTCTTACAACTCTCAAAGTACAATTTATCACACTCTCTTTTCCGTGCCAATCCGTCCATCACCGTACCATTCCCCACACTAGATACTGTCCGAGTGCCCAAGATGTTTGAAAACAGGATCTCAGAAGCTCCTGCAAGGTGCACATCCTATCTGCCATGAATTGTTATTGGTCGAAGCTCTTGCTGTTGGTAACAGTCCATGACGGTCTAGAGTTCTATTGGAGGCTCACGTGTGTCCATTTGCAGTTCCACCAAGTGGACTGGTACACTACCTATGATAACGTCTTGTTTCTCTTAATGTACCTTGTCGAGGTAAAGGAAGTGCATCTAGCTTACTTTCCAGTACTCCAGTAACTACTAACGGAAATATGTTGGCTCCTCTGAGATTACTGACGGCGCTTCATTCGCGGTGAACCTTGGTGGTGGTGCTCTCTCAACCCCACCATCATTGATGTACCATCACGTCTCTACAACAGATCAACCCAAGGCGTCTCTATCCCGGTCGTATACCCTGTCGTCTTGGTGTTTCTGTTCCTGTTCCTGTCTGACCTCATTTGGCTAAAGCCACGACCTCTTCTCCTCTCTTCTCTACCTCTTCTCTCTTGCCCTCCTCCCCTTCTTAAGCAACCCCTCCTTTCTACCACTCTACCATACCTTCCCATCCTTGGATTTTTGGTCGCTCGGGCGATCCTTCTTTTTAAATCTTGCTTTTATACAGTGGCATTGGTTCATTACCTTGTACATTCTAAGGTCTTATACCAACTGCGGCGATTATAAACTTCATCCAGTTCCGGATCTGGCGTTGTTCTGCAGCACCATTATCATCAATTAAGCTGCCATCCTCCTGTCCCAGATTCTTTGGTAATTCTTCTCTCTTTCACGATGTCCAGTGAACGTCGCGAGAGAAGGCCCTCTGTCGGAGCCCCGATGCCCCTCCAAGGCCCTGTCGGTCCTGGCTTCAGCCGTCCGAAGCACAAGCGCACCTACACCGGTTTTGGACCTGCAGAAATCAAGAGCGTTGAGGCCAGTATCCCAGAGCCATTGAGAGAAGCGTAAGTGTGTTCTTTTGGCTCCATTGAAGCTATTGTGTCACTAATGTTTCTCGACGCTGATTCAGATGGAAAAAACATGTAAGCGAACAGGCCTATTGATCGTTTGGCTGGAGGAGATTCATTGATGGTTATTGTGATAGTCTGCTACAGGTTTCACGAATAAGGATGAGTTTGAGGTGTGTTTTCTGCGCGAGCAATCGGTGCATGAGCGTTGTGGGCTAATCATCAGCCACAGAAACAACTGGTCCGTCATGTGGAAACCACACTGGCACGGTCGCTGTACAATTGCGATGAATTGTGAGTTCATCGTCTGGACTCACATTAGCGGTTGTCTAACTTCATCCAGGGCCGCGTATTCAGGCACCGCGCTCGCTTTCAGAGATCGCTTGATCATTGAGTGGAATAAGACGCAGCAGCGTCAATCTTTCGCCGACCAGAAGAGGGTCTATTGTAGGTGCTACTGCTTGGACGTCCCAATCTGCCTTGTGGAAATTTGCTAATTAATATGTAGATCTTTCTCTTGAATTTCTCATGGGCAGAGCATTAGACAATGCGATGCTTAATGTTGGGATGAAGGATGCTGCCCGAGGTAGGTCTTCGCCTTGCAGGACCGTTAAACTCGAAAGTAAAAGCTGACTTCGGGAAAAGAGGGTTTGAAGGACCTTGGTTTTCGAATTGAGGACGTCATCAACCAAGAGCATGATGCCGCTCTGGGAAATGGAGGCTTGGGGCGTCTGGCCGCGTGCTTCCTTGATAGTATGGCGACACTGAACTATCCAGCCTGGGGCTACGGATTGCGGTACAGATACGGTATCTTCAAGCAGGAGATTGTGGATGGCTATCAGGTCGAGATTCCTGACTACTGGCTCGATTTCAACCCCTGGGAATTCCCTCGACACGATATCACTGTTGATATCCAATTCTACGGTTGGGTGAGAACGTACCAGGATGAGAACGGCAAGACCATTCACTCCTGGCAGGACGGTGAAGCTGTTCAAGCTGTGGCCTATGATGTCCCGATCCCAGGATATGGGACTCGCACGACGAACAACCTCCGCCTGTGGTCGAGCAAGGCAGCCAGTGGGGAGTTCGATTTTCAGAAGTTCAATGCCGGTGACTACGAGAGTGCAGTCGCGGACCAACAGCGTGCAGAGACTATCTCAGCGGTGCTTTATCCCAACGACAACCTCGAGAGAGGAAAAGAGCTGAGACTGAAGCAGCAGTACTTCTGGTGCGCTGCCTCGCTCTATGACATTGTCCGGAGGTTCAAGAAGACAAAGAGGGCATGGAGCAAGTTCCCAGAGCAGGTTGCAATCCAGCTCAATGACACCCACCCTACGCTTGCTATCGTTGAGTTGCAGCGCATACTGATAGATCAGGAAGGTCTCGAATGGGACGAAGCGTGGACAATAGTAACAAAGACCTTTGGCTACACAAACCATACTGTCCTGCCGGAAGCGTTGGAGAAATGGTCTGTGCCTCTGATGCAGAATCTACTGCCCAGGCACCTCCAGATTATCTACGACATCAACCTGTTCTTTTTGCAGTCTGTGGAAAAGAGGTTTCCCAGCGATAGAGAAATGCTGTCCCGCGTATCCATTATCGAGGAATCACACCCCAAGATGGTCAGAATGGCACACATTGCCATCATCGGATCGCACAAGGTCAACGGTGTTGCTGAACTGCACTCGGACTTGATCAAGACGACAATCTTCAAAGACTTTGTGAAAATCTATGGACCAGACAAATTCACCAACGTCACCAACGGAATCACTCCTCGGCGCTGGCTCCACCAGGCCAATCCGCGCCTATCCGACTTGATTGCTTCGAAGCTTGGGGGCTACGACTTTTTGAAAGATCTGACGCTTCTCGATCAGCTCGAAGCTTATGTCGATGACAAGACCTTCCGAGCAGAATGGTCAGAGATCAAGACTGCCAACAAGCTGCGACTCGCTAAGCATATCAAAGACACCACGGGCTACAGCGTGAATCCGAATGCACTGTTCGACGTCCAAGTAAAGCGAATCCATGAGTACAAGCGCCAGCAGCTCAATATATTCGGTGTCATCCATCGCTATTTGACCATCAAAGCCATGTCGAAGGAGGAGAGGGAGAAACTCGTGCCCCGAGTGTCCATCTTTGGCGGGAAGGCTGCACCAGGTTACTGGATGGCTAAGACTATTATCCATCTGATTAACAATGTTGCGGCAGTTGTCAACAACGATGCCGATGTCGGTGATCTTCTGAAAGTCATCTTCATTGAAGATTACAATGTCAGCAAGGCAGAAATCATCTGTCCTGCATCAGACATTAGTGAACATATCTCCACTGCAGGCACAGAAGCCAGCGGGACCAGTAACATGAAGTTTGTTCTCAATGGGGGCTTGATCATCGGAACCTGTGATGGAGCTAATGTAAGTCTGACTCGATCTACCCTCTTCGACATGGCTGCTAACTGGGGCCGTCCAGATCGAGATTACACGTGAGATTGGGGAGCAGAATATCTTCTTGTTTGGGACACTGGCGGAGGATGTTGAGGAGCTCCGTCATCGCCACTTCTATGGCGATTTCCAGCTCGATCCTCACCTGTCCAAGGTCTTCGAGGCGATCCGCAGCGATATGTTTGGTGACGCCAGCAACTTCTCTGCGCTCATGTCCGCAATTGCCGAACACGGTGACTACTATCTGGTCTCTGACGATTTCAATTCATACATCACAACGCAGGAGATTGTGGATGAAGCGTTCAAGAACCAAGATGAATGGATAGCCAAGTCTATCACTAGCGTGGCGCGGATGGGATTCTTCTCTACTGATCGGGTGATCAGTGAGTATGCGGACAGTATCTGGAACATTGAGCCTTTGGAAGTCAGAGATGATTAACTGCGCCACGACTGAGTAGTCGTGGTCAATAGGCTCACTTTACTATTTTTGATCATTGCATGAATTCTCTGATTCTTTTTCTGATTCGATTGACTGGATATGCCAGAAATGAAACCACAAATGTACAGGCGTGACCAAACACCGACAAATTCGCTCATTCACAACGAATAGAAATGCGAGTAAGCTCAGGTTGCAGACTATCGCAATCAAACACAAGTATGAAATCGAACGTCGGTCTGATCTATACCGAGAAACTAGTCAAAGCACCATGATACAGTCATATATGCTATATATCAACCCAACAATGAATTTATGCAGCAGTCAGCTCCGCCAAACGGCGCTGTAGCTCCGGAACTGCACGAAGATGAAGGTCCAATTCTTCTTTCTCGCTGTGACGACGATTCTAGTCAGCATCACGTAGGGAAGAACAGGTTATCAGATAGACTTACTCTTCCAACTGCAATCTGCGCTCCCAGTCCAGTCCAGTAAAGATGTAGCCGCCCTGGCCATCAAACTGCAGGATCTTCTTGTGGTACTTCCAGAGGCTGCGGCGATGCGAGACCGTCATGAGGGTGGTGCCCAGCTTCTTTGCGGTCTCGTACATGACCCGTTCAATTTCAAGGGTGACGGAGGAGGTGCATTCATCTAGGATAGCAAATTTAGGGCGGTGGTAGAAGAGTCGCGCCATGGCGATGCGCTGCTGGAGCCCGCCGGAGAGGACATCGCGCCATTCCTCCTCGGCGTCCCAGCCGCCCGGCCGGTCGACGACCGAGGCGATCTCCACGATGGACAGGATCTCGTAGAGGTCTGCGTCTGTGACGCCCTTGGCGCGCATTTCGCGCACGCCGTCCGGGTAGATCACCTGCTGACGCAGAGTGCCGCGGGACAGGTAGGGGCGTTGCGGGATGTAGAAGATCTCGTCGAAGCGGGGCTTTTTGACTTTGCCGCCGTAGACGGGCCAGAGGCCGCCTAGGATGCGGAAGAGGGAGGATTTCCCGCAGCCGTTGGGGCCGACGATGAGGAGATGGTCGCCTGGGTGCACGGTGAAGGAGAGCTTGCGGACCAGAACGTCGCCGTTGGGGGAGACGATGGGGACGTCGGTGAATTCAATCGAGTCGCCTTCCTCAACCTCGCCGCGGCCGGACAGAACGGCGGCGTTTTCCTCAGTGGATGCCGAGGAGACGAGCTTCTTCTCGAAACGTCCGGCTTGCAGGTCCTCCATGACCTCGAGGAGGGATGAGACTCGTGCTGTGTGACCGGCAAGTTCTGAGATCTCCTTGTAGGAGAACATGAGACGGCCAAAGGCGTCCGAGGAGGACAGTAACATTCTGCGGTTTGTGACAAAGCCTGTTTATTCCTGTCAGTTTGGACTGAGGCAAGATGTTCGTGGGCCAAAACTCACTTTCTGTGCGGTCTGCCATAGTTTGTGTGATCTGGCCGGGAATGCGGAAGAAAACGGGCATGCTACACAAGGTCAAGCCTAGAGCTCCCCAGAAATATTTGATGACAAAATCCTCCATGAATCCGTGATATAATCGTCTTCGTAATATCCGGTTGACGTGCCTGATGAGTGTGAAGTACCCTTTGTCCAGGGTGTCCTTCTCGGCCTCTTGGCCGTGATAGAGGGCCACCTCCTCACTGTAGTCAATCAGTCTTGAATGGAGGAACCGGAACTCGCCCTCCAGACGCGCCTCATCAGCGACATATTTTCCAAATGGCGGCGTCAGCGCCCGCATGATGTTTGCAGATAACTGGACCAAGAGACTCATGATGAACAGGCCTTCGCCTCCCACGCTCTTCGACAGTGAGTAGTTGTATATAGCCATGTCCAGGATCGGCTTCGCTAAGTTGGAGTAGAGCTCTGCCAAGCTGTCGGAGAAGCGAGAGACATCGACCGTGATCAACTGGTCGGGATTCTTGACTCGGTCGTCCAACGCTGAGATCGCATAGAACGTCATGTTGCTGAGATACTTGTCGTGGATATAATCCGTGAGACGCTTTCGGTAGCTGAGAGCAAGCTTGCACTGGTGATAGGAGAGCTAGAGCGCACCCAGGTATGTCAGTCAAACTCCGATCGCGGTCCTACAAGACCAGCAGCAACTCACCATCGAGTTCGTGAACGTCGCTGGCACCGCAACAATCATCCACCATGTAAGACCCAGCAGGAAGTCCTTCCCCTTCCCTCGCACCAAACTGCTCACCAACCTTCCATCCAATTCCGCCACATACAAGCTAAGCATTGTCCGCAACACCAAGAAAACACTGTGCCCAACGAGTAACCGAAACTCCTTGCTCCTCCACCCCGGAATCACAATCTTCAGCAGCCGGAGTAGATTTCGAAAGAACTCGCGGTTCACCTCGACCCTCTTCCGGGGCGGCTCGTCGCCATCACCTAGACTGCTGGTACCGGGTCGCTTGCGCAGGTCGACCTGCGACCGAGACGCGGCCTTTTGCTCGGAGATGGCATTGTGGACACGCTTGACTAGAGCGACGAAAAGAGCCAGGTAGACGGTGCGGGAGATCTGTTTCCGGTGGCGCAGGTAAAGGGACGATAGGCTGGAGAGAATCTGTCGGACAGAGCGCTCGGGCGGGAGTAGTTTGGACTGAGCGGCCATGGTGATACCGTGACACTGGCACGAGATGGCGGCTGAGGCCGTATTTTTGTGGGGGTTGGAAGCACAGATGGAGATGATAAGGTGCTTTAGGGACTATCCAGGGTCGGCGGAGGCAAACATGACCATACTATTATTGCATTGGACTCCGGAGGATGGTGATATGGAGATAGCGGATGGAGAAGGGGGAAGAGAAGATGGGTAGAGTTGTAAGATGATGGATGATGGATGGTGGATGAGGGAAGCACTGGCATGTGAACTTCCCCAGTTAAACAGGTGTGATTTTCCGGGGAAACGCAGCATCACCACCGCAGAACCGAGGAAGCACAATCCTGTGGAGACCGCCCACGCAACCCACTCAGAGACCCATCGATGATTTCAGTGTTAAGACTAGTGGGAATGCGATTTGAAAGTCTGAAATCACTAGTTTTCTTTGGATGATTATAACAATTGTGAGATCAGACCGACTATAGTACAGTGGACCTTGAGACCTGGCAAACGACCCAAGCCCATTCCTGTTCAACATGCCTCCGACTATGACAGAAGAGACTGATCGAGTATATACGTGGGCAAACTCAGCCAGATAACTCGGATATATGTACAAGATTCATGAATCGCTCTGAAACAATGCAATATGAGAAGATGAAATAAACAATTGATATGCGACATTGGAAATCGAGTAGCGCTGTTCATCATTTTCAACAGGCCATACTCAAGAAGCATCTACGCAAAGCAGAGAGAGACGGTCGTCACTGCTATTCGTTGTAACCACTTCTCTTAAGATGGCTTCTGGTTCACCTCCAGTTGTTCTTTGATGGCACCATTGGGCTTCGGGGATGCAGTCTGTTTGCCGCTATTGATTTGAGCGGCAATTTGAGTTTGTCGCCATTGCTCAAATGCCGCCGTATCCTGTTTCTCCATAGCCCACAGTTCTTCAACGACAGAGCCCATTTCTTCAAACGCCTTGTCAGCATTTGCACCCTCGAAATGAGAGCGAGTTTGCTCCTCGTGCAAACGGCCAAGCTTATTTCGCAGAGCTTCCAAGTGAGATTCATCAAGGGAAGCCGATGAAGGGTCGCCATCGCCTTGATTCAAGGACGGACTAAGGAAATCACGGCGGAGATTCTGGCCAAGACGATGAACATGACCTTCTTCCGAAGTCATCGCGCGTGCATGCAGTGAGGTAATTGAGCTAGTACGTGAGAGACGAACGGCATACTGGTCGGTATCATCATCATCAACAGCGTTCTCATCGATAGTCAGGCCGAACAGTTGACCACTGCCGGCGGGTGCGGCCGCCGCATCATCACCAGAGATTTGAGAGCTAGTCTCTTGAAGGGCAGATGCGACAGAGGCTGGCTTAACGCGAGTTTCCGGGTATTCGTCCTCGAAGCGCTGAATCATACTATGCAACGTAAAGTCAAGGAACTGAAGTCGGCCTGCAGTTGATCGTTGGTTAGATATGTGATTTCATGTAAGAACAGAAATGCAATATGGATGAGGCACTCACGGTAGTTCGCGTCATTGCCGGCTCGATCCTCACGAACAAGAGCCGACTGGATCCGAGTGCGGATGTTGCGAGCTGATTCAAGCAAATTCTTGGACATATCCCGCGGCCTTTGAGGAACAAAAGACCTCGACTTCCTATGTCTTGGTGTAGTTGTACCACTGGGAGGGGCGGATTGGTCCCCGAGCATATCACGATGGTGCAGAGTGCCTAAACAGACTTCCAAGGCCTTGACAACTCCCGTGCCTCCGATCACATAGTCCTCGTCAGGAGCAGGCTCATCCTCATCTTCACAGATGTCGTCGCCAAGACCACCATGGCCGACAATGTGCTGTAGAATTTCAGGGACGGGGACAGCCGCACGGGCGGATGAAGGATCCGCTGAATCTGAGAGTTCTTCTTCAATGGCACCTCGTTCCAGATTCTGGAGACAATAGGCCACGATCTGGGAGGCAAGGGCCTTGACGACTTCATTGTTTTCCGCACTTGGTACTTCAATATCCACTGCAATGATGGTTCGAGACACGCGCACTGCCGCCATCAAGGAAGCATAAACGGCACAAGCCTCTTCCTGGGTGGCAGGGTCAGTCGCAACGGCTAGTTTTGCGATTGCAGGGTTCTCCAGAATGTTGAGATGGCAGAGACTGGGGCACTCAGGAAGGATCTCAGCAAGAGCGATGGCATGATCTGCCGAAAGATTGACATCGGCAAGATGAATGCGTTTGAGTGATTTCATCTTAGGAAGGAACCGCCTGAAAGTTGCCAATGCATCAGGCTTGCTAGAGAAGAGATCCGGATTATGCGAGAAGTCGATAAATCGGAGATTATAGAGACATGTCAGGCGCTGAAGAAGAGGGTGAATGACAGACGGAGTCAAGGAGCAATCCGCAAGACTGAGGGCATAGAGCGGGAACTCTTCTTCAAGAGCGGAAGTGATCAAGTCCAAATGATCACAAATAGGGTTTCCACCCAGATCGAGACCTTCACACTTGCCGGCTTCCAGATAGCGAACAACATGTTCCAATCCCTCTCTGGTAAGCTTGTTATTTGCAAAACCCAGCCTTCTCAACCCAAGTGTCGCTGCAGCTTCACAAATTCTCTTCACATCTTCCGTCGTGGGATTACACTCGCTGAGTAACAGCTCTTCAAGATGGTCTCCGCCAAATCGCTGAGCAAGTGAATTAGCAAAGATGGTCGCCACATCATTGACGGGCTTCAAGGGGTTTGGAGACGTTGACAGCGATGTAGCAAAATCATTTGCTGAAAGGGGCATTCTGGGGAGCGGGATGCCGGACAGGTCTATAGCTTTCAACGATTTTGCGAGATGGACGAAAAGGCTGATATGACGCCAACCCTCCGGGCCGATCCTGGGGTTATCTTTCAGAGACAGCTTCTCCACGACACAGAACCTATCCTCCTTTCCTACCGGGTCTGCGTCAGACTTCTTAGCTCTTCTGCGCCTTTGTCTCATCTGTTCGATGGTCTTGGTGGAGAGCAAAGCGGCCAGAATAGCCCTGACCGAGACGTCGCTCAGCGCACATTTTTCAAGGATAAGCTTTCGGACGGGCACGATAGCGAGCCAGTCGCAGAAGGTGGCCATGTCTTGCGAGGTCATGGGGAAGTTGGTAAGGTCAAGCACGGCAACAGTGCCTGGTGACTCCGCTAGTGTTGACGAAGGCGAGGATATCTCATCGACGATCTTCTTAAGTACGGGTGTCTCACGCAGCTGACAACAGCGTCGATAAATACGCACAGGGTCCGTCGTCGGGTGGCTTTGTGTTCTGGATCGAGGAATTCCAGGAACAGCAGGTCGAGCATCGTCCTCGTGATCTTCAGCGCGCAGCTGCAGGGGTATAGTCCCGTTTGCCTCGGCCTGCCTTCGTTTCCGTTCCTTCCGTTCCCTCCTCTCCTCCTCTGAGCGCTTCTTCTTTTCTTGCTTTCTTGTCGGCTCCTTAGTTTCACCATTGGGTTTGGTCTCACTGGATGGCGTCTCCGGCGGCCCAGGATGCTGCCGAGAAGTACCATTCTCCTGGCGTCCTTTCTCCTTATCCGCAATATCAGGTTGTGGTCGTTTGGAATCGTCCCTGTCTTTAGACTTTGAGTTCGACCTTTTCGCTTTCTGGTTGCTCGCACCAGTGGGACTCTCCTCGTCTGATTCCCGTCGAGATATCCCCGCGATCTCAACATCTACACAGAAAGCAACACGCCGCAATTTCTTTTGGTCGAGGTCTGGAATCTTACACCTGTCCCTGTCATGATCAATGTTCATCACCCGGCGCTCACAGATGCCCCCGTTCGGTACAACCTTTCCAGAAGAGGAAAACTTTCGAAAGGCACTATGGAGAAAAGAAGGCCCCTTTGGCGACGTAGAGACAAGCGGGGTGTGTTCGTCCCTCCTCTCTTCCTCCTTGTCCTTGGGGGAATATGCTGCTCCAAAGGGGTTGGGCGTATCGAGCTTCGACATAGGTGAGGTGGCCTTGGGACTTGGCGTCTTCATGGAGGCTTGTGAAGGAGGAGTAGACCCTGAAGAGAATTTGGAACTTATACTAGAAATCCATGAATTCCTTCTTCCTGTGATCGAGCGTGGTGTGCTTCTCTGGGGTGTCTGAGACTGTTCAACAGCCTTGGTCTCCGCCGCTTTGTCTTCTTTGTCGCTTCCATTCCCTGTCGCAGCTCGGCTTCCAACGTTCTGGCCATCTTTTGGATTCTCGGATGCAGGAGAGACGGGTTCTCGTGGGGGTGGGCAGGTGTTTGTATTAGAGGAAGTAGTGCGCTCTACTCTGCATGGCTGCGCGGCGGTGGATTCTGCATCAGCGCTCGATCTATCACTGACTTGGGAAGAAGCCGATTTGCAGCGGGAGAGGTGGTCTGATGAAGTGTAATTAGCGTCTGCTGGCATCCAGAATCCAGACGCAAGTGTTTGGCCCAACGGAGGGTTCTGGATCAATAAGAGAGTGCGTCGGGCGGGGTCAAATCGCACCTTTCTGCGAATGATGGAGCCAGCTCACATCCACAGTCTCAACCCCTTCCATTATGACGTCTGTAGCTCGCTGCGGAACTGAATAGATGTTGATCGTTCAGAGAGATGATGTAGCCATTAATCGTCGGGTGGTGAGGAAAGATCGGTACTGTCAGACGACAGGGTGCATGGTCCGCTCTGTTGGAGGTAGTATAATTAGGAAAAGACGGTATTAATTTGGTCTGAGGAGATTTCGTTTATGTTCGCGACTCGAGAAATCGATCAATAGTGACTAGAGATGTAGAAATCGCTTCGCGCGGTTACAACTTAAAATCGGCGACGGTATGAGTATTCCATCATCGAACAACCGCGCAACGTGGGCATGGTGACAGGTAGAGATATGAAAATTCGGTCTCGAGATGCAGAACGGAGAACAGGTGAAAGAAGGAGCAATATCAGAAAAAATGAGACAAGTGAGGGGTGCAGAGGATTTAAGAGGAAAGCGAAAAATTAAGCCATACTTCTTAGAAGACTAGGAGTAGGAGGTGATGGCGATCGGGACGGTTCAACAGGCTAGACTTAAGGTAGTTCGCTGGTAAGTTGCTAGCCAAAAAGGACCCAGAACAATTGGTCTTCCGGCTGACCCAACACCGGTGGAGTGGAGTGGGGAGAGACAATCCTGGGGAGCAGAAATGGTGAGGTCAAGGACTCCGAGAACTACTTAATAACTAACTAGTAATAATTGGTAGACTACTCTGACAGTCTATGTATGTAGTTGGTAAGGAGTCGCTGAGGGTGTCTAACAAAGATGCTGGGAGATACCGAATGTGTCTGTGTCACTCTGGGGAAAAGTAAGGCAGGTACTATGTACCTTTTGTCTGTCTTGCAGTTACCGGTCTGTAGAAGACTGGTTAGGTGAGCATCCCCTCCATAGAGTGCGGAACACATCATGATTGTTGCTTTCCGTGGCTTGAAGTCCTCCGCCTCGCCCTCAACAAGGGAGGTGTTGTACAACTGTATCACTCCTGTACTGTCGCATACCCCAAGTAAACTGCCTTGCCTTACCAGAAATATATGCCTAGTCATCTGCTCATTATTGTTCAATTCATCATGGGAATCAAACCCTTACTTGCTGTCTATTCCTCCTTGAGTCGGTGCAACCCGTCCTACTGTACGGAGTACGTGCCGGCCTAAAGCTCGCCACCTGACAGTCCTAAGTCAATCCGCTGATTCCGCTCGAGTGCTCTGGATAATAATATTACACGACGAGCCGCCAAGGCCACACAACCATTACAGTGGGAAATTGGTATCCGTCTGGTAATATTATTAATTTGACTTGCGCAATACCACGATACCAACGGCAGAACGAGGCTGGGGTTTGTCCACAGTAGGCACGTGACGTAGCCTTTGTGCTAATAAAGTGGAACCCATCGTCATTCGTCGAAGCGCACGCATGGATATTGCCAGTTGCTTCAAGGTCTCCAGTCCATTTACAACTCAGCAGTCGAGTCGCCAGTTCACCGGAAAGAGGCCATTCTTTGACGTTCTGCAAGCAATGTACGAGGTGAGGGAATCGATCTGCAGTGTCAGTACGCAGTATCTCGAGGCTGGAGAATGGAGAGACCGGCCAGTCGCGTGATCATACTTTAAGTGGCGAGAATACTCCATAGCAGTGATGGACAAAGTAGATACTCTGGTCCGCCTGAATATTTACACCATGGTCCAATTCGATCATCGGTAAGGATGCAGTCTGGCTCATACCTAGTAGTGTTGGAGGAACTTAACGGTTCAATTAAAGGCCTATCAGCACTCGTATGGCCTCTTATTTGGATAGTACAATTCCTTTCCTTGTTAAGTAGTACTACCTCCAGTAGTGCAAGAGCCGATGACGGTCCTTACCCAGCTTCGACTCACGTTCGTACCAAATGACAATTGGGTCTTCTATTCCAAAAATCCCTGATATCATGGTTATCCAGATACCCAGAAATATCAGCAGTATTGGGATGTATGCCATTATTCATTGACTATTGTAAGAAGCCTGCACATAGTTCGGAAGAGTCACCCGTCCCGTCTTCCAATATATATCTCTCTCGGGCATTGAGTTCACATTATTTCGGTACCATTATGTCCCTTACTGGATACATTAAGTACATTAAGTAATCACTCGAATCATTCACGGCCTCTCGGCACAGAAAAGAACAAATTGACACTGTTCTTTATCATGTCTATTAGTGAACATGCAAGATCTTAGAGCTCAACAATGCCCATCAGGGAAATACGCTCCGAGCGTTCTCCGAGTGTTCGATATGGCCAGATTAGGGTAAGGTAAGTAGGGGGTCCACCCTACAACCTAAGGCGTGCTTCATCGCTTAGCTCGCCAATAGTCCCCTTTTCACATGATCCACAGTAACCCAATAACCCACTGACGAGTCCCACAATATTCGCCCAGAATACATACCTACAGCGCAGAAGGTTTGGGCTTCAGTACAGATGTGTTCTTCTTGTAAGCGCGTAACTTTCGATTGGGTTACTACTAACTGGCAGCGCCATGCGGCTTTGGTTACTCGGGCTGGCTATTGGAATTGAAACCCTGGCATGTCGACGCATTACCGGAGCAATTAGAATGGTTCAAACGATTGATTCCCTTGAAAAGAAAACCCTGCTAATTGCTCCGAAAAAAAAAAACCCAAGGATATCCCAGACGTAAAACATGCGCTCGTAAAGGTCCCATCAATTTACACTCGAGAAAACGCCGATTTGGCAGAACATAGTTCCCTTGAAAATTGCTTTTTTTTGGGGTTGTGTGAGACGTACACTTCTTGTTGAACTATCGCGCTTGGTGATACTTCCAACATGACCCAGCTCCCACTTCACTGAAACGCACTTAAGCAGCAAGCTCACGGATCTTCTGCTCAACGCGAGCCTTCCTCTCCTCGTGGGACAGCTTGGTCTTTCTGTACTTCTTGCTCTCGGCCTTCCACTCCTCCTTGGACTTCTTGGGCTCCTCGTCCTCGTCCTTCTTGAAGGGATCCTCACGGATGGCCTTGTGAGCCTCAGCATAGATGTCCTCGAGGTCACCGGCATCGATCTCGTTCTCGATGTACTTGGCGAACTGGCTGCGGTAGCGCTCCTCATCGTCGTCGGCGAGGGTCTCCATGTACTCAGAGACGTGGCCACCGAAGATGTAGTTGCGGAGGGTCTCAGCGTCGAGCTCCTCGGACTCGATGTCGAAACCGGGGAAGCGGTTCTCAGAGTGGGGGATGAAGATACCACCGTCGGAAGCACCCTTCATGGCACCGAAGACACGGGCACCAGTGGAGGTACGGACAAGACCAACGTCGAGGAAGGCCTTGAAGGGGCGGCGGGTGCCATCGTCGGTCTCGACGGCCTCGGTGAGCTTGTACTCACCATCGGCCTCCTCAACACCGGTGAACTGCTCGTCAAGGCCGAGCTTCTTGAGGGTACGGCGGGCAAGGAGCAGACCGGTGGCATAGGCGGCAGCCCAGTTGGTCAGACCCTGGGTGATACCATAGCGCTTGAGCTCGTGGGAGTAGGCGCTGGCGAACACCTTATCACCGGTGATCTCAGAGTAGACGATCTGGGTGATGATGTCGCGGTTGGTGAAGCGCACAACGAGACGGTACTTGGGAGCGTTGTACTTGTTCTTGGCCTGGGTGATCAGGCGCTTACGGGCATAGTAGTCGGTCTTGCCCTCTCTGCGGCGGCGGTACTTAGTCTGGTAGCGACTGTGGTAGAGATTGTTAGTTCGGCGGTCACCCAAATGATAATTTCACACAAAGACTCACCTGTAGTACGCGCTGTTCTTGACGAGCTTGTGGAAAGGCTACAAGAAAAAACCCCCGAGTCAGCAATTCGCGCTTCAGAAACATTCAAACACAGGTGTCCGAAGCATCTTGCAAAGACCCGTTCCCCGTCCCCCACAGCGACCGACGAGGAATTAAAAAAAATTTTGCCGGTCGGCAGGACGATTTCATTCAAAGATGAACAATGCAGCAGGTGCTATCATCCACCTGAAACAACAATAAGACTCACCATCTTGACTGTTGCCGCGATTTGAAAGACCGAGTTGTCGACGTTGGCTGCAGAGGAGGACTGAAGAGGTTGGAAATTTCGTGGGCCGACTTTGTGGATGGTTTCGCTTAGCGTGGCTGCATCCCAGCGCAAATTGAGGTTGGCCACGAGCGGGGGACAACCACAACGGAAGTCAGACAGCACTCCGCAGCATCGGTAGACCATTTGAAAAATACTATGAATAACACTACACTATTCTAATTCGAAACATTGCACAAGGGGAATATGATTCAATGAAGAATAGTCTACAAAAAGGATATCTATCGCATTTGGCGCAGTATTTGCAGTTTCCTTCAGCTTAAAGCTTGGCCTTGTCCCCAGCGTCTAGCAATTGCAGGCCAGTGATCTTCTCTAGTTCTCTGATAGCATCCTGTGTCCGGCCAAGGTTGACCTTGATTGTTCGCAATCCAGCCTTCTTTGCGGCCTTCAAGTTCTCTCCGATGTCATCGAGGAAAACAACATCCGAAGGCTCAACCCCTTGCAAGCCTCTCTTTTTCGCCAATGTGTCCATCTCCTTCAGCGCAGCTGCATAGATCTTGGGATCTGGCTTCCTGAGCCCTGTATGCGCCGATGAGATGAAGAAGTCGAATTGCGACTTGACGCCGTTTGAGTCGCTGTTATAAGGATGTCCATCAGGGAATATGACCGTATTTGACAGAGCCCCAATAATGAACTGCCCTGACGATTTCAGCTTCTGCAGCGCTGGGTACATGTATGGGTCTGGGGTCCTTGACACTCGCATCATCTCCCAGAAGAGCCATTCTGCGTCGATTTCGGGCAGTGGGGGTGCCGATGTTGGCACCCCGGTTGTTTGCTTCTTCTGCAGTCTCTCATGGAACTGCTTCCATAAATCCGGGTTTCGTAGATCTCCGTTGAACGCTTTGAAGAAGTCCGCATCCAGTTTGATCTCGCCTCGCTCAAGCTTGTGCCAGCTGCCGTTTGGAGACGTGCGCGAGATACTGAAATTTACCCATCCCTTAGGGATGTTGTTTGCAAGCTCGTAGTCCAGAATGGCTTGAAAGGGAGAAACGACCTAGCCTTCATCAGTAAAGTCTTCAAAGATATGGTTATTATTCGGCAGCCTTACACACACTCCTCCAATGTCGAAGAGTAAGCCCACTGGCTTCTTGTTTTCGAGCATGATGCAGGATAAAATTGAAGAAAGCCTTGCGATATCTTAATGGAGGATTTATTAGACTTTAGTCAACCAAGTCACTCCGTATCAGCTTGCTGGGCTGAGGCCGGTATTTGTTACTGCGGAGTAGTAACCAGGCCAGGACACCTGGTGGATTGCCGAGGTTAGATAAAAGTAGAGCGTAAACCATCTACCTCTCTAATCTGCTCGCAAAGGCCGAGGAAGGGACTTGTATGATCACTAATTATGTTGACCCCCACTGCTTTCGCATAATTGCAAGTCGCAGAATTATAATGGACACAATTGTAACCTAGGAAGGATCATTGGATCCAACAGCGAGTATGTATTGAATATGTCCATGTCACGTGATCTGTTATCGATAGCAAGATTTCACGCGCGGAGCTGTCTGCGCGATCTCCTCGGGAGTCGAATTGAGGACGCAAGTGTCGATATGGGGCAATGGATGCAAGTCGAACTGTCTCCGAACTGAAATCAGCATTTATCAGGGCGCAGGTGCGGATTCTGTCAGAGAGCCTTGAGCCACCGGAAGACTGGAGGATCTACGCGACTGAGTCGGAGGAAGATGAGTTGAGTGATAAGGCGGTTCAGGATGCGCTGCAGAAATGTGAGTATTTCCTAGGCTTAGCCCTTTGCTGCCTGAACTGCATGATGTCCTCGAGACGGAATCGATAGCAAGTCGTCTCAATGTGTACTCAAAGATTTAACGTTTTTCTAGTGAACGGAACCTTGAAACAGCACAATCGCATCATCTACTCTTCTCAAGCAATTCAGCATGTCGCGCAACAGATCACAAGCCTTTACTGGTCGTTAGTTAGTCAGGCCGCACACAATGTTGACTTTTCCGACAAGCGATTGGAGACGACAGTAGATTTGTGCAGTCACCTGTGAGTTCCGCGATACGGACGCCTCTCAGCCCACCTTGCTGACATATCGCAGCAACATTACTCAATTGCCCGCAGAATTAGAGGACCAACATGCAAGTGAGGAGGAGCGTTTAAGGTTTGAAATCACATAAGATAAGTTTTGATTTCATCTGGCTGATGGTCGTGGTACAGGTATCAGGAGCTACGAGAACGGCTTATGCGCCTAGACACTGAGCGACAGCAACGACAACGGCGCCTTGACCAGCTGAGGCGGTTACAGAAATTACTGGAACCTTTCACCGAGCCTCAGAACAATATCCAGCCCAACCTCGTCACGAGAGACGGTGAGCTTGTTCAAGAGTTGGAAAAAATGCGAATGCTTGTTGCCCGCGTTGGCGGCCGGATCGAGCAGAGTAAGGAGAGGAGCACCTCTTCGGAAAGAAGCCGGCCTTATGCATTAGGAGCAGATGAGAAGCTGGCAGCGCTTCTCGACATGACATGAGCAGACCTGGACTCCAACTAGGCAGAGGTCAGATAGGAAGACTCCAAGAAATCGGCCGAAATGGAGACTATCTGTTATTCCGAAATAAGGCAGAAGACATTAAAGAGCTTGGTACTCTGTACTTTGTATCATATTCCCGGTAGAAAATGGACTGATGCGATTGCTATTTTTATGTTATTAAAGGGTTGCAAGGGGGTTTAAAGGGAAAACCTGGGGGAGATTGACTGCAGCCGCACGGCAAATTCACATACAGCAGGTGCCAGCGACAATAATAATGAAGAGAAAATCATGAAACTAATGGACTACTTTCCTGCTAGTCATCATTGTCATCTACTCTTACCTGTCGCAATTTATCCTTTCTCGTCCCTCAATTAGTGTGGAACAATCATCCAGATACTTTTTTATTCCAGAGCTTCCATCATTAACCACTCCTATCAACTGGCAACATGGAAGGGATGGAGAATGATGATTCCAGTGCTCCAGTCACCATTACTAGTGAAGATGATCGGAGCTGTGTTTCCGAAACTCCGGCGCTTGACTGCTTTGGTGTTGGCGTCCCTCCAGCTTCCCCTCTAGCATCTCCAGCACCGCGAGAGCTCGAGCTGGATTCTTCACTTCCACAGGCATCTCTAGAGGAGCCCCTTTCCCTTGTGTCACTGACCGATAGTCCACTCTTCTGTCAGACACCTCAATTCAACACCATCGACGTGTCTACTTCCCCCGCGGATTCCAAGGCACCTTTCGTGCGTGGACATCGCCGTCGCTCCACCCACGTTAGTCGTCGTGACCTTGAGAAATTTAGAACGGAAGTCCTAGGTATTGTTCCAGACCCTTCTCTCTGGTGCGAGGAGGTTGGCGGATCTCCAGCAAGCATAAATCCGTCTACGCTCGACGAATTGAACACTGCCTTCGCTTCCGCGAGTATGTCCCTGAATAGTGGCAGTGGAATTCCTAGCAATAACTCTGGTTCGGGCATGTTCCCTAATTACGTCGACAACACCGGTAATTCCGCAAACTTGCCCAACGCTTCTCGTCAGTCGATGTCTCCCGCCATGCCAAGCCCCTCGACTCAGGTCAACGGTGCTGGAATGCCCGGTACGAACGCTGGCATACCTATGAATGCGGGCCATCAAATGGATCTTCATCATCTGTATGAGATGGTGTTGGAGCTGAGTGAGGTCTTGAAGAACAACCGCGAGACGACCAAGAGCATTGTATCCACTGCGGAGGAAATCATGGTACGTTGGTCGGATCGCGAAGGCTACACGGTAGCTCTGCGAATCTGCTGTTTGGTTGTTTCGCTGACAGAAATTGCAGAAGCGTGCCTCTTCCGAGGGAACTACTCCCAGCTTGCAGCAGGTCAATGGTGAAATTTCCGGTAGGATCCCAAGTCTACCATTATCTATCGAATATCAGAAGCCGCTGACAGTCTCTACGTTAGCTGCCCGTATTGCCGAACTCGAACGTGCCCTTGCGAAGGAGAAGCGCCTTGTGGAAATTTTGAAGCAGGAGCAGGTTGAGAACACCAAACTGATCGGGGAATATGAAGCAGCCGTTGGGACCATGGTCGAACAAATCCGCAACTACTGTCAGAACAACAACATGAACTACCTGGCCCAGAAACGCCACTACAACAATCTGCTCCAGGCCGAACGCGACGCTCATCTGGAAAGTCGTCTCGACCGCGACCATTGGCATGCTCAGACCATGAAGTGCGCTGAGATGATCCGCACTGCCTACCGCCTTCGCTGCGAAGAGGAAGAGTTGCCCATTCGTATCGTCTCCGGTCTACAGAACGAGGTACGCGCGTATCGCAATGCCCTTGGTATGGAGCCAGAGAAACCAGAGGAAGAGTACGGTTGGGAAATCCTCAAGGATGTGCCCCCAAGCGTTGACTAAAGGCGATGGTCGTCCGCATACCGCGAGTACACGCTTGGGATTCAACGAGTTATGACAGTCCTCTTTTGCTTGCTTGATGGATAAGGCGTTCTTGGGAGCAAATCTTGGGTGGCTGCGGAATTTCCTGGTGAAGATACCCATCTCTGCAATGCTTATCTCTACGGTTTCTTCGTTCGTTCAATCTTAGCTTGGCCGGCGATGGTCACTGAGTGTCTGGATCTCTGAAAATCTGGAGAATCCTGGTTGATATCCATGATTTTGGAAACCATCATGACTCTTGAGCATCCTATGCGCCAGGCGCTTTGCTTGAATTTAATCCAGTTTGCTATCTGCTGCTAGCAGCAGTATTGCATTATCTTGTCCCGTTTCTAATCGTAGGATTCTTCCAGCGCCGGCTTGTCAATATCGTACCTGAATCACCCAAGCAAGGGTCTCGAAAGTAATAATTATTATGCTGGCCATTTAATCCAACGTTCAATCGGTGTAAAAGACTTCGTCCAGGACCTTCCACCACCCAGAACCCTCTGCACTGCTCACAGCGCCAGGAATGGGACTCTCCTGCAAATAAGAACACATCAGCATCATCCACATCTATATTCGTAACTTCAGTCAGCTGAACCCGGCATACCTGCATCCCATCAGTCATCGCCCACCACTCCCGCACTCTCGGATTCGCCCTCATCTTCTCCATATCGGCCTCATAATCATCACCGACATACTTGAACGTCGCAAATAACGTGCGCTCATTGTCGAAGAATATCGAGTCTACATCAACAGTTAAGCCCTGAGAACTTTTAATCTTCGCATATGGAAAGTTAAAGTCTCTACGCACAGTCTCTGATATTGCATTCTTTGATCTGCTGCAGGACCTCGGGCCATACGTTCGCGTGGCATTCTTTGTAGGCCTCGACGGCGGAGGGCTTCAGATGGACGATCTGCGCGATGCGGCGGACTGGTGCCATTTTTGGGCGGGTTATAGGCTGGTTCGGTTGAGATGAGACTGTATCTATGCGATGCTCACTGTTGATATAATTATTGGGAAGAATGGACAAGGAATTTCTTGATCTGTTCTGATTATGATGCCCCTCTTTGGGGATATGGGGTAGGATTCCGCTCGGTGTGCTTTGACCCGAGATTGGATTATGTGGGGATGTAAACAATCTCGATAGCCCTATGGTGATTATTAAAGATCGATAAGGTTTTATGTACCGGTGAGGGCCCTTTCGATGCAGAATGCGCATGTTTGAGGATCATGGAATCTTCATTAAGACTATTAATCATTCCAAAGTGATATGTAAAAGGTCAGGTCCCCAAAGCAGAATGCATCCCAAACGCCGATGTATGTATCGCTGATCATCCAAGGTATCCCAAATGCAAGTCGAATGACAAAATCATGAGGAGGCTCTATCGTAACAGTTCGTATTGTGGTCATTGCCGCATCATCTGGGATTTCGGTACTGGTCGAATCCACGAAACAGCCAGGTTGGCGGCGATGGAGATCACGCCGATGATCCAGAGAGACTGGCTGTAGTGCGTCTCATTGTATCGGAAGATGATGGCGAAGATGATTCCGCCAAGGTTTCCCATGCCGCCTACGGCACCGGAGACGACACCTGCAGAGACAGATCGTTAGCAAGTGGGGCTTCAGGGAACGGACGGAAGGAGGGTATCTTACCATTCGCGAAGGGATGAACATGAGGTACGACGGCAAAGTTGGCGCCATTGCATGCTTCCAGGAAGAATGCCAGTCCGGCAGTGAGACCGAACATGGTTGCTTCGGATCGAGGGTCGGTGAGGCCAATGGCCAGTTGGAAAGCACCCATGACAACACCGAGGAAAGACAGAAGAAGTTTCTTCGACCATACGGCCCCTGTGTATTTGTACAGCATGTCTGCAATGAATCCACCAGCAGGACGGAAAACGACATTGAGAAGACCGAACATGGCTGCCCAGCGGCCTGACTCGGTTTGGCCCATGTCAGGGAAGTTCTTCGAATAGAATTCGCCCAGAATGGAGTTGATAGCGAGCTCGGATCCAAAGGAACAGGCGTATGGGATGGCAACAGCGGCCGTGGAGAGACTGAGAAGGACGTTCATGACCTCCTTGCGGCTGGGGGCCACCACGGTGTCTGTTCTGAGGATGTCAACTTGCCCAACAGCTTGAGCTTCAGGATCGACCATCTGAGGTGTCTGGGCACCCTTCTTCTCGGATTGCGGAGTAGATATATTGATAGATGGAGGACCAGATGGGCGGGTAGAGGGGCTGCCCGACATGAGGTTGACGATATTGGCTTGGGATTCATTGTTCTCCTTCATCCAGATGTGGCGCTCCGACCATTTGCCAGTAGGGGTATCCTCGCATATGAGCAGCATGCAGAGAGCCAGGACGACGATGATTATGAACGGGACAATGTAGGCAACGCGCCAAGCTTTATGCGGTGCGAGACCTTGAGAGTGAACAAGCGAGTCGTAGATAGCAGGCATGACGAAACTGCGAGGACAAATGTCAGTGAGACCCATGGCCGTAGATCTACCCGGGCGGGGGCGTCTTACTATGTGATTCCACCTCCAGCATTACCCCAGCCTGCGGCCAGAGAGTTGGCGGTTCCCACAATGTTCTTATCGAAGAAACCGGTGCACCATACTTGGCAAGGGACAAATGTACCACCAAGGATGCCAACGAAGAAACGCAGAGCGATTAAACCATTAGGGGTGGTCACTAGACCAGCCATAGCTGTAGGAATAGAGCCACAAAGCAAGAGGCCGATGAAAACAAGTCGAGGTCCGAAGCGGTCACATAGCGGCCCAGCGATGAATCGAACAAGGAATCTGTGCTCGTCAGCGAGCTTGATTCGGAAAGAACTTTTCGTTCAATACTTACGTAGCCAGAAGAGCAACAATGTTCGAGTTTGCGACTTGTTGCTGTGTCATATGAAGATCTTTGCGAATGGTCACCGTTAACTAGACAGCCATTCTCAGTCAATTGTTCCACGTTTCCAAGTGCTTCCTGTATAGTAGACCGCTGCCTTACCAGAGGTGGAAACGCATACCATGACAGGAATGCAACCATGAAGCCAAGCCACGAGAAGAAGAATACCCGGCCATACCGGTCGAAGGGATTGAGGACTGGTATTGACCTCGCTTTTCGATTACTGGGGTTGACGTCCGGAGAGACGACAAGTGATTTGAGTGAATTCATCATTACCCGAAGTGCTTCCCCTGCTAGTCGGTCGGCGTACAACCGAGAGTAGACAAAACAGACAGTAGATTGGACCGATTGATTGCGCAATGGGCCACTAGTTAATCCAAGACGAGTAGACTAATGAAAATGTGTAGGCAGCTTGATTGTTGTCTAGATCTGTTCGGCGGACTGTCATGGACAGGAGCAACGGCTATATAAGATGACGCCTGAGAGGAAGAGAAAGGCGTAGCAGAAAAACAAACGACGTAAGCACTGAGATATCTTGATTTCCATGTGTGGCAAGCCAAAAGCATCAGCTATCTCCTAGGAGTGTTGCACTGCTTCGAGACCATATCGCTACATGGCCTATGACGGAGGCATCTCCTCCGTATAGATTAGATCGGAGGGAGCTGCTGTCTTTTTGATATTCGTAACGGATAAGCAAAGATGAGAAAAGATAGTGTTAACCCTATCTCCCCAGTTTAACTGGACGATCCACTTGCCTTTTCCCAGGGTGTAGTTCCTGACAATAAGGGCCGTATTATTGGACAGTCATCGGTCCAACAGCTTGGTAATCCTTTTTTGATTGACAAAGCGTCTGATACCATTATCTGATGGACGCTCTGAAAAGGGCTACAGGGTAGCTAGCCCGCGTGCCAGCCAATGCACTGCAGAGATAAGGGTTCGATAAGAGCCAAATCTGGAGTCATCGTTTCCCGTTCGGACCACCCTGATATCAGGACACAGATAGCGTCTGTATTGGCATTTGCTGATCCCACAGCCATCTTGAGCGAACTGATCGACAGAATGGCTGCAAAGACCATGGAACCAGGAACGAAGGACCCGTGTGAGATTCTCGGTAGGTCATGGCCATGGGCGAGGATGAGCCGGAGGGGTTGATAACCGGATTGCACTTCATTGGACAGTCTCCCGGAGAATGACGCCCTCAGAATCTTCCATGTGCTCGAAAGAGACAGATAGTGCCGGCATTGTCGTGTGTCACAGCCTCAGAGCACATCGTTCTTCATACGAAGCCTGACTGATAGACGAAAATAGTGAGGGCTGACAACGAGCTCCGCGGAAATGTGAAGAAGAAATGCTCTCCTTTTAAGGCAGCGATGGAGACAAAAGCGGATAATCCCAGTGGGGACCGAGATAAGGCCAGAAATTGTCTCGACCGTAGTCTATCCGAATGGAGGTGGAAGTTTGAAAAGTGGGAAAGCAATACCGTAGATAGGGGAAGATAAGAAACGGTCAGCGGTGAGCCAATCAGTCAAGCCACCAGGGAACGGTTGTTACACGTGATTAGCGTTACCCTAATGCTGATACCGTTCCTGCCTCAGTCCATTCAGGCGCCAACAGACCCTCTCCTACAGCAATCACCATTTTGGATGAGCATTTTCAATATCGTATTGATATTGCAGGATTTAGCTCTCTACGGAACAGAATTTGCGACTTTTGCAAGGATGGCATACACAATGTTTCCGATCATAATCAACAATATAGTATACTAAAAGGACAAGGATATCTGTGCAACTCGTAATAGATGCAAACATAACAAGTAAAAAGGACCCCATGTTAATGACAACCGGTACGCCTCATCTGTATGCCATAGTCATGCTACCAATCGATGATGTTTGCCGCCTGTGTGGTCGGGGCTTGCGTACGGATGTCACAAGCCTTCTTGCCCCTCATGCCCTTGTACCTCTTGTCGACCTTCTGGAACGGGTCTGGTGCTTCCCCTTTCTTCACCTTCCATTTCTCCGTTCCCAGAACCGAATCTAGTTCCTCAACGGGTGGCAGCTTCATATACACCCAGCCGTCATCGCGTTCCTCAACAGGGAAGGTCGCAATGTTCATGCTCTCGTCATTCGTGCAACGCCCTGCCTGCTCACCGTTGAGCTCGAAGTTGCGTTTGTGGTAAGGGCAAGAGACCCAATATTTACCCGCATCGTCATCACCAATCAAACCGTCAGATAGCACGAAGGCGCGTTTGTGCGGGCACATTTGTTGTGTGGCGTAGTACTTGCCCTTGACCTTGAAGATGGCCAACTGAGTATCCCCGCGCTTGATGTTGGCCGAGGAGATTTGCGGGTGCTCATCTGAAAAGTAGTTGGCTTCGATGACAGGCTGCCATGATAGAGACGACCACTGGTGACCCTTGAAGTCCTCGTTTGCAGAGTCCTTGGGCCAGTATGTGGGTCGCTGCTGTTCACGTTCTTTGATGACCTCAACCGTGTCGACAGTCTCGTCGCTGTTGGCGAACTGTTGAAAGTACTTGCGTCGCTTAGGATTGCGGACTGTCTCGGTCCACTCACAAAAGTAGCTGTTCACCAGTTCTTCCATCTGCTGTTCCATCTCAGCGCCAATCCCCAACTTGTCGTCGATGATCACCTCTCGCAGATAGTTGATACCGCCGGGGAGGTTCTCGATCCACCGGGCAGTCCGCTGAAGTTTGTCTGCCGTTCTAATATAGAAGATGAGATATCGATCAATGATAGGAATGAGTTTCTCAGGAGGCACATCTTTCGCAAGCAATTCCGAATGCCGAGGTTTGGCACCTCCATTGCCACCAACGAAAATGTTGTATCCCTTCTCGGTTGCAATCAATCCGAAACTGATCGGAAATTAGCTGCTTGTACATGCACAGTCTAAGAATGACCTTGTACTTACTCCTTGTTCTGAGCTTCGGCGCACTCTCTGACACAACCAGATACCGCTCCCTTGAGCTTATGGGGTGACCGAATACTCTTGTAGCGCTCCTCCAGTCGGATCGCCATTCCAACACTGTCGCCGATACCAAAGCGGCACCATGTAGTTCCGACACAGCTCTGATAGAATACGTCAGCTAGGAAACATAATCTTATACGGGCGGCAGGACCTTGATCGTTCGGAGCGACTTGGCATAAGCATGACCACTCTCCATTCCGGCATCCACGAGCTCCGTCCAGATGTCAAGTAGATCTTGCTTCTTGGCACCAAACAAGTCAATACGCTGACCTCCTGTAATCTTGCAGTAAAGGTTGTATTTCTTCGCCACTTGACCAATGGTGATCAGCTTATCCGCAGTGATCTCACCACCAGGGACTCGCGGAACCACAGAGAACGTTCCGTTTCTCTGGATGTTGGCAAGGAATCGGTCATTTGTCTCTTGAAGGTCATGAAGCTCTTTGTCCATAATGTGCTGGTTAAACAAACTTGAAAGAATGGATGCAATGGCAGGTTTGCAAATCTCGCAGCCAAGAGAGTCCGGCTTCCTTCCCACGGCCTGCATGACATCGACAAATGTTTTCAGTCTCTTGACAGCGATTACAGTATAAAGATCGGCTCGTGAATATGGGATGTGCATGCAGACTATAACTTGGTTAGAGCATACGAAGAGAGTCATTGCATCAGACACTTACGATGGTTGGATACTTCTTGGCCCATGTCCAGCATGGCCTTGTTGAAGATCGACTGCACCAATGGCATACAGCCACCACAACCACTCCCTGCTTTCGTGCACGACTTAATCTCGCCAATAGTCTTGCATGTACCACTCTTGACGTTTTCAACGATGTCCCCTTTTGTGACATTGTGGCACGAGCAGATCTGAGCGTCGTCGTCTCTGTGGTGTTGGTGTTAGTGCCTATTCCTGTCCAGCATGCCAGCGCAAGACTTACAAGTCATCGGCATTCTCTTCGCCGTCCTTCTGCGCTCCAAGAATAAACTGACTGGGAGGTACTTCGAGAGGCTTTTGGCTCTTGACCATCTGGTTCAATTTCACGTAGTCCTTGGTATCGCCAATCATCATACCTCCAAGCAAGTACTTCCCATCCATAGTGAACAAGTACTTCTTGTAGACTCCGGCGAAGGGGTCCTTGTATGTCAATGCCTTGACATTTGGCTCTTTGTCGCCATCAGCGTTCCTCACAGAGCCATCGACAATCGATGGCCGTTGCCCCGGAAGGAATTTAGGCCCATCTCTGTCGGCAAAGAAGTCACCAAAGCTGGCAACGTCAACACCAAGGAGCTTGAGCTTTGTGCTCATATCGGGTCGCTTGAAGCTCTTTGGCTCCTTATCGGGATTTGTCAGGTTGAAGGAAAGCACGTCGGCCATTTCAATCCCAGGTGCGATAATTCCGAACGTCTGATTCTCCCAACTAGCACATTCGCCAATGGCAAAGATATCGGGAATGGAAGTTTGTAAACTAAGATCGAGTATCGAGTCAGTTCACGATAGATATCTGAAAGAACAATATCTACTGACCTTTCATTGATAACAAAACCTCCCCGTCCAGCACACTGAATGCCGGCAGGAGGCCCCAGCTCATCTCTGGGTCGCACTCCAATCTAGAGGCAAGTTTAGCAGAGTACTGATGGCGCTCTTCAATAGAGACTTACAGCAAAACAAATGCAGCAGCAGTCAATCTCTTCCCCGTCTTCAAAGGTGATGCCAGTGACGTTGTTGTCGTCATCCGTTTTGATCTTCGCGACCCGCTTCTCGTGTAATACGTCCAGGCCAAGCTCTCTGATCTTCCGAGTTACCAGTGTGCCGGCATCGCCGTCGAGCTGCCGTGCCAGAACCCACTTGTTGCGGTCAATGAGTTTGACCTTTCCGAAGTCCTCGAGATCTGTCATTGCTTTGGCTGCTTCCAGGCCCAGCAAGCCTCCTCCTACAGTGACCGCGGTCTCGCCCTTGTGTTTCGAAGCGAACTCGATGAGACGTTCCAGGTCTTGAATTGTTCTGTAAACGAAGATACCCTTGGCATCATAGCCAGGAGTGTGTGTGGGGAGTACTGCATCTGAGCCTGTAGCGAGGACTAGAATATCATAGGGGATGGCGTCGCCAGTTGACGTCCTGACGGTCTTGTGTTCAGGGAAAATGTCGGTGACTTTGGTGTTGAGGTGATAATCGAATGACCGGTCCTTGAACGACCCGTACTATGTAGACGAGTGGAGACTTAGTATCAGCTGGATGGAAAGCCTGAATACTTGATCGTTAAGTACTTACCCATTCCTTGGGATTGAGGTACAAA